AACCTCTACCCCCCTACCCCCCCCCCGAAACCCAATAAAATATACAAAATCCGAACACAAATTTCGATACGAGGGCATAGCTTTTATAGCTCAAGTTGCCCTCTCATGGTTGAATGTGAAAAAGAGTTCGACCATAAAAAAAATTATTAATTTCTGATATCAATTCGTTGTTTAAATCATCATTTTACATTTTAAAAGATTCCTTCAAAATTCCCATTTTCCTCAACTCAAAACACCAATTTAATGATAATATTAAAGAGGAAATCATGAAGTATAATGAATTCTGGGTAAAGAACACTTACCCCAAAGATTTGCTTGAAAACCCCCACTAAAATCGCTCAAATCCTAGGTCTACAACTAACATGAAAAAAATGGCCAAACCCTCGATTTGGAAAATATATTCTGCTGCCCCAGGTATATGTACATTGCGATCGCGGAAATATACATGCGATACCGAAGAGGGAAGTGACTTCTGTCCAGAAACGTACTACGCAATCACGAACAAAAGCATGTGACCACGAAGAAGCGAACATATGCTACCCCAAGAAGTGTACTACACGATCGCGAACCAGAATATGCGATCGCGAAAGAGAAAATACATCAGCTGCTAAAGTTGAGCTACGCGAACGCGGAACTCTGAACACGAAGACGATGAAGGAGAATGTACACGTACGCGATCGCGAACCACATACTGCGAACGCGAAGAAGAAAAATGGGTCACTCACTAAACAGCCTATGCAACCGCGTATGTGCCATCACGATTGCGTAGAAGGGCATCGGGCACTAGAACTTCATCATTCCAAAACATAAGAAAATGGCCCGTGGCCCATACGAAATGCACCCGAGGCCCTCGATACCTCAACCAAATAGACAAACACATCCTAAAACACGATACGAACTTAGTCGAGGACTAAAAGCACATCAAACAATGCCGAAATTACGAATCGCACCTCGAATCGAACTTATGAACTTTCAAATCTTCCAACTTCTAAAACTCGTGTCGAAACATATCAATTCAACCTGGAATGACGTCAAATTTTGCATGCAAGTCCCAAATGACATAACAGGGTTAATCCAACTCTCAGAATCGAAATCTGACCCCGATATCACCAAAGTCAACTCTCGGTCAAACCTCTCAACCTTCCAAAAACTTCAACGTTCCAATTTTCGCCGAAATGCTTCAAAATATACTACGGACCTCCAAATCCAAATCCGGATGCACGCCGAAGTCCAAAATCACCATACAAAGCTATTGGAATCATCAAAACGCCATTTCGGAGTCGTCTACACAAAAGTCAACACTCTACTCTTACCGCTTAAGCTTTTAAAACAGAAATCTTTCTTCCAAATTGATCCCGAATCATCCGAAAATTGAACTCAACCATATACGCAAGTCATAACACACAATCGAAGCTCCTCGAGACCTTAAGCCGCCGATCGGGACGCTAATTCTCAAAACGACCGGTCGAATTGTTACAGTAGAGTTTGTGAGATTATCCGGTAGAGTAAATGCATAGGCGGATCCGGGATTTAAAGTATACGGATTCCTATTGTAATCTCAAATCAATATACAATAATAACTGGGTTCACAGTTAGATATTTATAAATATTTAGTGAAACTTTTCATAAAAATACAGGGTCTACGCAAAAGCTATTGGGTGTCCGAAAACCCAGTAACTACACTCTAGATCCGCCCCTTAGTAAATGGAATAATTCTACAAATGTACCATTAGTGAAAACTAAAAATCATGACAACCTAGTAGAGTTTGTAACTCAATCCCGTGTTTTTTTATTTTTTTTGGTTATACTTTTTAATTATCCAACAAGATAGCTACGTTAACTAAAGCATGACATCCTACTGTTTTGTCATAACTTGCCTTCTACCCTTCTGACATCTATTTTTCATCTTCTTTGTTCGTAGTTTTTAAAATTATGATAACCTCGTAGAATTTGTAAATCATGCAACAAGATATCTAAGTTGAATACAACATGAAGTTTTACCAATTTATGATAACTTGTACATGACACAGTGTACTGATTTTGGTTGCTCTTGCTGCTATCTTTGCCACTCAACCTTACTATATTTAGTCGATTTGTTTCGTTAAATGCATATCTGTACATATGAGGCCATTTCCAGAATGTTGCAATTCCGAGGACAAAATTTCAAAACCAAGCCCAAAAAAGTTCCTTGTATCAATCTCTCCAACTACAATGTTGACTAGCCTGAAGATCAGTAATTTTTTGCCCTTAGGAAAAGCACAAATTAACAAAGTCTCGTTAACCTCGGGTTCCCAAACGCAATATAATGAGATGGACAACATTCTATTTATGCTTCTTATTTGGAGTTTAGTTCAGCTGTTTCTTTTTCTTGCAAACAAGCGAATACACTGACAAACAAAACAGATTTTGTCACGCCAGTTACGAGAACTGAGTAACATTCTCTTCCAGCTATTGAAACACATTCTGTTTTAGCTGGAGGATCAAATTCTCAATTTTTTAAATAGCAAAAATAAGGTCTAAGACTGTTTCTTCTTTTCCACATCTCCATTTCACACGTTCTTTCGGGATACTTGAGCTTCTAATGCTATGGAATCATTTTCTGGGCTAACCTTTTCTTTCTTCTAAAAATGGCTCTTGACTCGTAAACTATTCTGTTGAGTAGAAATTAAACATAAGTTGGTTTGGCAAGTGCATGGAAGAACCCAAAAATTGTCCCCCCACCCCACCCTCTATCTTTTGTTTATTTTAAATTTCGAAATGAAGTACCACAAACACTGATAAACAAGTATTTTGTGTAAGAGTAATCTACCTTATCACTAATCCAACTAGCATCAGTGAACTTTCCTAATATAGAAGGATTTCCACTAGAACATATATTGTAGCTCATCATCTTCTTTAACTATATGAAGACTATAAGCACATTTCTTGAAAAGATATTATATTACCTTCGAAGAGAATGAGAGATGTTAACTATTCCATTCCTCACAACTCTTTGATGACTCTGCTACCTTGCTTGAGAAATAGTTCACAAAAAATGGAGTCGATCTTGTTTCATAATGGCTGTGCAGATACAAGTATTCATCTGTGTAAGTTGAGTCGAGTCTTTTCTGGATCGTACAAGAAGCCTGGAAGTTGGTAGTAGAGTTTAATCAATAAGTTTCAATCCACTGGTTATTTGTTCATATAATAGCCATAGTAGGAAACCAATTGCAGTGTCTCTTAGCAAGTTTCCAAATATAGTAGTAGCCCAGCCAGAGAGCTCCTTTGAAGGTTTGTTCCCAGCTAGATCTCGAAAACGCAAGTTTCCTTGATCAGACACCAAAGAATATATAACTCCATTCATGTGGCCCTTCCCAATTATTCCTACCACTTGCTTACTCTTGTTCACAGCTTTACTCCTCTTCAGAGACCACGCAAGAAACTATAGTAACAATCACATGGAAAAACAGAAAAGATTGTCACTAGCAATTCTAACAAAAAAGTTTGACCTAAATATGGTTTAATGGATAAATCAATCAATGGGCACTTCTCAGTTCAATTTGATCAGAAAACCAGTGCCAGTTTTGCCATAATATCCATCAGTGAAGAGGCATGTGTTCTCACAATGAAACGTTTGCGTTTGTTCTAGATTACCAGAGACATTTCAGGAAAAACCAACTAACCGTGTCACGTTCATGCAGGAGTGGCTGTAGAAGTGATGGATATGTAAAGCTTAGCTTTTCATACAGCTGAAAGTTGCTATCATCAGAATTTGATTCCTGCAACAACATAGAAAACAATGAAGATGGAATTTGAATCTATGGAGAGATAACGTACAGGCAACCATGTAGGATAGAATGGCATTGCATGTACGTTACCAGCACAACTTGCCGCCTGAAGAGAGCAGAGAACAGGAAAAACTCTTAAAAAAGACAAAGAGAAGTTGAAAAACTGCTCTCTTCCTTTTCGTTTCTGCCCTTTGGGGTGGCGGTGTTGGAGAGGGAGGACTGGTCCTCCAGGCATCAATTTTTGTAACTGCTACATAAAGAAAATATGGACGAAAATGCATATATGATAATGCCATTTAGGTTCTGCCAGCCAATTAATTTGCTATTAAAGTTCTATGCATGTAAGAGGTAATGGCTGAAAAACTTGATAAGTAACAATCATTGTTAGTATCCAGAGAAATCTCATAGAGATAGGGGGAAACCTTTAATGCCTTCGTTGATAGTTCAGTAGATGAGGTAATTCCGCTAAAGACAGACACCATCAAGTTCATCTTCTCATTCCACTTTAGCGAAGTCCATGCTCGTTCAAGCTGAACACAGAAGTAAATAAAAATAAACTTTCTAGCATTACAGCTAAAGACCAAATAGCACATCCCATGAGGACACTCAGGCAAACGTAAGCATAGAGCAGATTAACTTCTCTTACTTTACATATAAGACCATGTAGTACCATCCATCTAATATATAAAAGAGAAGTCATATGAATCGTTGTTCCAACTTGTCAAATAAAGAGAGAGAGTAAATGTACGACTTCACTAAATCCAAATTTAACCTAGGAAATGGAAATGTAAGTGTGGCATACAGTTATTTCTATTGGTCGATCCCCCAATACTATTTGAGCACCAATGTCCTCAGCAGCCTTTCGAGCAGCACGAAACTGCAATTAAAAACAGCAAACTTCGTTAAGTCTCTCGAAATATCCTAATTGTAAAAAGGAACATCTTACAGAGAACTACCTCATCTCCAAAAGGACGATTAACACCTGAAGACATTTTTGAAGAGAAAAGCGCCAGCAAGACTCGTAATGCTAGAGCAGTTTGACCTCCTATCATATGAAATAGCTTGATGAATTATATTCTGTAGGCATGGATAGCATACAAAGCAAGGTCAGAAATTACCCAAATTTATGCTACGACCAACAGCACCAAAAAACCCGGTCCCACTCAAAGAAAACATGTTTGATTTTAAGGGCTGATTGAGATCCTTATCCTCTGAAATGTACATGATGCCAGCCCTGAACTCTGCAACAGGTGAAGTTAAGCTATGGAGATAACCAGTTTACACACCTGATGTAAATTAAATGGAGGGACAAGAATGCACGGTTATAGCTCATGAAGATTAAAGACAGGCGCTTCAAAATTGTAGCATTTCATAATGTGATCTATTGCACGAAATGCTACCAGATATCTTTGACATCCCTCATTATTTCCATGAGAGATAGTAAAATTTTATTGCGTAATTAGGGTAAAAATTAGTACTATTGTTTTGTGAATTCCTCCTGACAAGTGGTAGATGTTAGAATAGCATTTTTCAGTCCCCTTGCTAGAATTCCTCTCTCAGAAATTACAACGACAACAAAGTAAACGCGAATTAAGGAACATAATTTTTGTACAGAGCTACTTGCCTACTTCTGCAGAGCTCTACAACCACATTCTCAGGCCTAATAGCACGAATAACCCTTTCAACATCGACGGCCGATTCCAAAGAAAGATGGTTTGTTCCAATTAGCCAAATGGCCTCTGGTTCCACAAACTCACTTCTCCAAGATGGAACAGGCCCGTATTGGCTCTTCTTTATCAGAAACAGAGTTCCACTATCAGCCAAATCAAGCAATTCCGGATGACTTTCTTCAATAGCATCCCGAGAAGCGCTGAAAAATTCAGTCTTGAAGTCGAAGTTGGGGGGTGGTGGCTTTATGGCAACTCTGCATTGATGATATTTTGTTCTGGGTTTCAAAGGCAAGGAGAGGAATTTAGAGTGAGGAGCCAAGATTGGGAGAGGAGAAAAGAGGATGCTCATGCTCTCGGAGCTAGAGGAAGAAGAAGCTTCTTGTTCTTGTTGAAGAGATGGAGAAAGAGGAAGCACAAGCAGAGCTCAGAGATGATCATCGTGCGACGTGTGGCTCTGGGGTGACAACGTTGCAACTTTTCATTTTTGTGGTTTATATCTTTTGAGTTTAATTTTACACCTCAGAAATGGGAAAGGCATAAATACCCCCACAACTTAGAGTCTGATTCCTAATTATACACGTACTATTACCTTTTAAAATAAAATATATACACCTTTAAATGATCACGTGTTCACTCTCTTGAAAGCATGTGAGAGACAACATATAATTTTTTTTTAAAATCTGAAATATTTAGGAGACTAGCGGGTGAAGACAAGATTAAGGGGTATTTATGCCTTTTCCCCTTGAGAAATAGGTCATCTTACCGTGACTACAAGTTATAAGCATCTTTTTGAAACAAAAAGAAGGTTTTTCGAGAGACCTAAACTAAAGGTCTTGAACCGTAAAACAGATTTTAGTTTCTGAGAAATAATATCAAAATAAAACACTATCCGATTTCTATTATTTTTATTATTATTATTAGGCAAAATGGCCTTCGAGCCACTTAAACTTATATCCATTGTTAACCCGATACACAACTATTTGCTCATTAATAAACATCTTTGACCATTAACTATGCTTAATATCATGTGTGATTTGACAATGCTATGTGTAATTCACGCAAATTAGGCACCTGAATTCAATTTGTTTATGTAACAAAAAAAATACTAAAACATAAAAAGAATTAAAAAAATAAAAAGATAAGACAAAAGGTAAAAGAAGAAAAAGAAAAAGCATGTGAGTTCCACCGTCCCCTTCTCCCTTCACTGTTCTTCCCATCCCCCACCTCCTCTTCTCACGTTCTGTTCCTCTTTTCCAAAATTCCCATTCCCCCTTCTCCCCCAATTTCCCTTTCATCTACCTCTCCCTAATTAAGTTTGTTCCAACTTTTCTGTTCTTTCTCCCCTTCCTCTCCCCCTCTTTTCTCCTCAACAAGTCAAGCATTGAGATTATTCTTCACCAAATACGATACAAATAACTAATTAAGCTACTCCTAAATCACCTTCTAATTTCAAGAAAGAATAAATATGCCAACAATCAGTGTATAGATATGAGCATTACAATTCTTTTCTGGCCAAAAATATTTTCAGGTGAGTTGACCCAGTCAAATCGACTCATTGTTTCTGATTTACAAAGGACTAGATTTGAAGATGAAAAAACTTGAAGCAAAAACGATTTTTCTTTTATATTGACATTTGGGTTTCAAAATTTTGTTAAGATTTTTTTCTTTCTTTTTCATGTTTTCGTTTCTGGATTTTAGTTTTGATGTTTAGAAAAGGGATTGTAGGTTTCCCATAGGGAATATGGTGGCAGTGTTAGCGGTGTTACTGCTGCTGGTATGCCTCGGAGTTCTGAAAAAAAGAAGAAAAGCGAGAGGTGGTATATTGTTTCAGTGAAGATGGTAGAACCCGTTGAGGATGGGGTATTTCAAGGAGCATTTGGTAAATTGATTTTTTTTTTTTTAAAAAGTAGGGCCCACAAATTACAATGAAGGACTATGTATTTACTGGGAATTCATTGTTCATTAACCGACCAACTTTGGTCGGTAATAGTTAATTAGTTTTTTTTTTTTAATAAATACCGATCAACTTTGGTCGGTAACATGCAATTATTATATTTTATTTATTAAAAACTGACCAACTTTAGTCGTTTTTTTTATTTTAATTTTGGCACAAAATGCCTGTTTTAGTAGCTATACCACCTGCCAGCATACCAATGCAACAACAACAACACAACAATAACAAACACAACAACAACAACAACACAACAACAACCAAACTTTCAATAAATACTTTAAAACTTACAAATTAAAGTGCAATTGAACATAACAATCCAAAACCAAGTTAAAACTAATTACAACAAGTTCAAAACTGGTTCTATTGTCTAGTTCTAAGTATATAAAAGTCAAGGGGTGTTTTGTACAACATCATTATCACCGTCTGATGAACTTTCATCTACAAGACAGTATAGATAAGGGTCTTGTGGAGGACGGGAAAAACGATCAAGGGGAGGATGGGAGGAACGATTGTGAGCACGTGATTTTTTCCCTAAGTGAATTACTCCCAAAAATTCAAACAAAATGACTTCTTTCTTTATTCTGCAATTTTGTGAATTTTTGTGTTATTTTCTGTTAATTGTTTGCATTTATTTGTGCATTTTAATTCATATGAAAAATATAAAAAAAAATAAATAAATACACTTCGCATTTGCATTTAGGATTCAATTTCATATTTTTAGGATTAATTAGTAGTTAAATTGTTTTTAAAACAAAATATAAAGAAAATAACAAAAATAGTCCATTTTTGCATTTTTTTTTTTAATTGTTGAATTTGTCATGGGTTTGCTTTAATAGGACTTAATCAATTTTAGGACTTAATTAGTTTAATTTTGGAAATAAATTTGGTCTTTATTTTAATTTTGTATTTTAATAAAGTCAGAAAATTATAAAAAAATACAAAATGAAAATAAAAGGGAAAAGAGAAAACAATTTTGAGAAAAAGAGAAAAGTTGGTCTTAAAAGACCCGAATTTGGGCCAAAATGGCTGAGCCCAAACGAAATAACCCGGTCAATGAGCCCAAGACCCGTCGTCCAACCCGGTCCAGACCCCCTAATGACTAAACGACGTCGTTTTACGTCAAGTTAATCCTAGCCGTCTAGGTTGCTTGATCCAACGGTCGAGAAGTCCCTCCTCATTTAATATAAAAGTGTCGGATAGACCCCCCTACCCCTCAATCATCTCTCAGAACCCCTTAATGCACGCCGGCGTAACGCCACCATCCCTCCGCCGTCCGCTGCCGGCCGAAAATCGCCTCCGCCGGTGGCGATTCTCCAAATGACCCCAAATTTACACCCCGTGTTCCTCTCCTCCTCACCTTTCCATATCCACCTCCAGTTCCTTTCAAATATCACCCAAACCCGTCGAATATCCAAAACCCTAAACGCCGTCTCCACCGCACACGGTGGCGTCACCCCCAAACCTTACCATTTTTACGCCCTTTGACCACCACAACCCTCTCATCCCAAATTCCCTTTTAGTTTCCCTCGAATCTTCCTCCAGCAGCTCGAATTTCATATCAAAGTCCGGACTAGGAACCCTAGTTTTCAACAGTTGGGGGTTTATTGATTTAAGGGGCTATAACAACCCTTAATCGTGTGTTTTCCCTTGAAAACACATGATTACGGATGGTTATAGTCCAATTACCTATAAAAGCCGGCCTTAATGAGCGATTTCGAGGTATTCCTCTTCTATCTCCTTTTCTTTTGTTCTTCATGACTTTGATTTTATTCCTTCTATTTGGTATTTCTGTTATTTTATTTTTATTTTTGGGTCTTAATTTAGGATCTGATTTCAGCCATATAGTGTTAGTTCGTTCTTATTTTTGATTCGACTGTTGTTTGCTTCTTTCTTTTTAGGGTTTTCTTTTAGGGTTACAGTTTTAATTCGGTTCTCGAATAATTTCAGTATGTTTGCCATTGATTTTCTTTAGGTTTAGTTTTGATTCATGACCGAGTAGGTTTTCTTCTTAGTTTGATTCTTTGTTATGCCTGATTCCCTTATCCTGGGTTTGCGATTTTCTTTTAGTCCAAATTTCTTTGTTGTTCATGACTGATTCTGTTTTGGTAAGGCTTTGATTTTGTTTGATCCTGTTTAATTTCGAATCTGTTTGATATATGTTTTATTTCATTTTTTATTTTAGTGCTTGATTTAGTTAGCAATTTCTTATTGTTGCTATTACTTAGATTTAATTCGTTTTAATCTGTTTGGATATAGCTGAATTAGATTTGTTGGTCTAACTATAGTTACTAACTAAGGTAAAAGGGGCTGGGGTTAGTTAGCATAGGTTAGTAATTTTAGGACTAATGCAGGGGCAATAAGGGTAGTTTACTTAGGAAATCTTGCAAATAACTGAATTGGAAACCCCTAGAACCTTCTAGATGGGGTTCCAATTAGAATTTCAGAGACTTAATAGTCTAACTTGGCTAACAAGCCAATAAATAAAGGACTAACTAGCTGAAAATAAAAATCAGAAAAGGATTAAAGAGTAAAAATTAAAAGTTGAAGCAGCCCTAGTAACTTGCCTATAAAGGCACTGTTACTTAGAGCTGAAGACAGATTTTGGAAGCCTAAAAAATACTGAAAAGTTTCTGCGAACGGGGGGCAACCAAATTTCCAAAAATCACTCTTCCATTGAAGTTTCTTAGGACAATTTTGAGTTCTAGCTGTTAGATCCAATTTCCAGCATCTATAAGATTGAAATATGGTTTGCATTATCCTGGTAATTCAGTAGTTGAGGTTCCAGAAGTTCCTAGGTTGATTTCTAAGTTTCAATTTGGTCTATTCAAGCTGATCTTAGTTTGTTTACTGGTATCTGTCCGTCTGAAATCAATTCCTGGGCATCTAATATTATTTGCTGGGCTTTTGGATTTGAGCTCATTGTTGCTGATTACTGCCAATTGCTGCTGACTTCCTTCTTCTTATTGTTATTCGAATTCCAGGTATTCTTCAGCTCCAAATGACTTATGAATTTGAGCTCAATGTATGATCAAATTGGAAGAAGTAATGAAGTGCAAGCTGCTTTTATTTTGAGTATTTTACCTTAGTTAAATGCATTTCATCCCTTGTATTCATTTGAACATTACATGATGTATATTAACAGGACTGTTTGGACTGCTTTTAACCGAACTGCTTGATTTTATAGAATTATATGGGTATCCTATTGAATGGTTTTAGATTTAATTAGTGTTAGCTTTATTTTAATCATGTTAGATTTAGTGCTGTTAGAATATATTAACATAAGATTCGAATCTGAAAGTGGACTGGTTGTTTCAATTTGCTTAACGCGTTATTTGTTAGAAATCAGAAATAAATAGTAGTAGCTATTTCTAATGTCAGGTCCATGATTGAGTTGTTTAAGGGATTATTGATCGACATTAAAGGTTGTTGAATTCCCAGATTTAGTGTATTAGTTCATCAGAAATGCAAACAAATTGAAACGTGTATGAGATTTGAATTTCAAACAATTAAAGAGTTGTCAATTCCAGTTATGATCAGTTTTTGAACTCATTATCGGATCTAGTAACTGACCCATTTAAGGCCATGAGGTCTC